CCGTGTTGATCTTGTGCTATTAATAAATTAGATAGGATGGGCGAATGCAAACATAGGCTAATATTTTAGAACATTCGTATATACAACAAACATCATCATATTTCTTTAAGATAACGTAATATGTATGAGAATGTTTGTGTGATTCCCGGGACCTCACTCCGATAGCGCCATGTTTGTTTACATGATTTTCATTCGGAGTTCATTCGGAAACGCAAAAAAATGGCGGAAAAAAGTGCTAATGTGATAGGGCCTTCAGGATCTGAGTCTTTTTTCTCTATCAATTTACCTCCTTGGTTGGATATTATACTATTTATTCCCTACTCTTTATATATATAAAATCAGAGTCTTTGGTTTTGAGGTTTTGAACCAAATTAATGTTTGAGAAAACATTATTTTGCCTAATCCCCCTTACTTCTATGAGAGAGAAATCGCATAGTGATCATGACGGCACGAAAAAATACACATATTTCTCTTCGTAAGTTTTTGTTCAATTTAATCTTTGATGACGGCAAAAAATGCACATTCCACTTATATTTGGAGAGAGCAAATAAAAATATGAGAAACATTATCAGTGGAGATTCTGCCGAATCATGGAGTCAATCAGTCAAGTTATTTAACGGGTTGTTGATGATAGCGCTGCCAGGTGTTGAGAGAGAGAGAGAGAGAGAGAGAGAGAGAGAGAGAGAGAGAGAGAGAGAGAGAGAGAGAGAGAGAGAGAGAGAGAGAGAGTCATAAAATACATAGAAAGAAGGGGAAAAGGGCAGAAGGTGGGATAAATCACAATTGTTTGTCTTCGTTGATTTCGGCTTTTGTATTTGCGGCAACTAAGAGAGTAAAAACCTGCTAAGACTTTTCTTTGCGATTTTGTCTCTGATTAGATCTATACAGCAATAAAAATGTATTCAAACGACTCAATTAATGTTTGGTAATTCACCAAAAGTGGTCTCGAAGCTTTTCTTGTTAATTCCAAAACGGAATAATCTTCGACAAAGGAAAATCAACATAAAAACAAATTTAAGACAGTCCTGACAAAGTTTGTAAGGACAAAACTAAAGACAAGTTTAAGAAACGATGAAATTGACGTTTAACAGTCTGTCAAAATGGTCTTCCAGGTTTTTTCTATCCTATTCGGTCCAGAATTATCTTCAAATTTGTCTATGATTCGTTTTTAGAACAGGTGTGGATCTGTCTTCAAAACTACAATGCAAATTTACACAAATCTGTTGATTCTGGATCGAATAGGATAGAAAACACTTGGAAAACACTCTTTTTTGCAGACACTGATCATTTATTGTCTATTATTTTCTTAGAAACGTGTCACACACACACACACACACACACACACACACACACACACACACACACACACACACACACACACACACACACACACATATATATATTATATATATATATACATACATACACACACACACACACACACACACACACACACACACACACACACACACACACATATATATATATAATATATATATATATATATATATATATATGTATATATATATATATGTGTTGTGTGTGTGTGTGTGTGTGTGTGTGTGTGTGTGTGTGTGTGAATATGTATATATGAGTAGGTAGATATACATATACATATACCTATACACTAAACCTGATTTTATTCATCTTTTCATCCTCAGTACAATCCTGACATACCAAGAAAACTTTTCACTTTTCCTTCGCGCCCAAAAGCCTCGCAGACGAGCGAATGGGAACAGCTTCAGGGTCCGTCATGCCGCCCACGCCCACTTCCATGCGCGCCCGCCTCCTTGTGGCAGCGATGGGCGTGATCGTGGCCGTGGGCGCCGCTGCCTCCCAGACCACCCCGCCTTCCATGGCAAAGATTATCACGGCCAAGTCACGTGAGGAGATAAGCACAGAACGGCTATCATCTGCCTCTCTTATCTTCGTTTTTCTTTCTTATCTTCGTCTTCCTCTCTTTTCTTCGTCTTCCTTTCTTATCTTCGTTTTTCTTTCTTATCTTCGTCTTCCTCTCTTTTCTTCGTCTTCCTCTCTTTTCTTTATCTTCCTTCTTCTTCTTTCTTATCTTCTTCTTTCTTATCTTCTTCTTCTTATCTTCTCTTCCTTTCTTATCTTCGTCTTCCTCTCTCTTATCTTCGTCTTCCTTTCTTCTTCGTCTATCTTCGTCTTCATCTTCTGCCTCTCTTATCTTCGTCTTCCTTTCTTATCTTATCTTTGTCTTCCTTTCTTATCTTCCTTTCTTATCTTCGTCTTCCTTTCTTTTCGTCTTCCTTTCTTATCTTCGTCTTCCTTTCTTATCTTCGTCTTCCTCTCTTATCTTCGTCTTCCTTTCTTGTCTTCGTCTTACATCTTCGTCTTCCTTTCTTCTTCGTCTTCCTTTCTTATCTTCGTCTTCCTTTCTTATCTTCGTCTTCCTTTCTTATCTTCGTCTTCTTATCTTCGTCTTCCTTTCTTATCTTCGTCTTCCTCTCTTTTCTTCGTCTTCCTTTCTTATCTTCGTCTTCCTTTCTTCTATCTTCGTCTTCCTTTCTATCTTCGTCTTCCTTTCTTATCTTCGTCTTCCTTTCTTATCTTCGTCTTCCTTTCTTATCTTCGTCTTCGCCTTCCTTTCTTATCTTTGTCTTCCTTTCTTATCTTCCTTTCGTCTTCTTATCTTCGTCTTCCTTTCTATCTTCGTCGTCTTCCTTCTTATCTTCGTCTATCTTCGTCTTCCTTTCTTATCTTCGTCTTCGTCTTCCTTTCGTCTTCCTTTCTTATCTTCTTCCTTCTTATCTTCGTCTTCCTTTCTTATCTTCGTCTTCCTTTCGTCTTCCTTTCTTATCTTCGTCTTCCTTCTTATCTTCGTCTTCCTTTCTTATCTTCGTCTTCCTTTCTTATCTTCGTCTTCCTTTCTTATCTTCGTCTTTCTTATCTTCGTCTTCCTCTTCTTATCTTCTGTCTTCCTCTCTTATGTCTTATCTTCGTCTTCCTCTCTTATCTTCGTCTTCCTCTCTTATCTTCGTCTTCCTTCTTATCTCGTCTTCCTCTCTTATCTTCGTCTTCCTTTCTTATCTTCGTCTTCTTTCTTATCTTCGTCTTCCTTTCTTACATCTTCGTCTTCCTTTCTTATCTCGGTCTTCCTTTCTTATCTTCCTTTCTTATCTTCGTCTTCTTATCTTCGTCTTCCTCTCTTATCTTCGTCTTCCTTTCTTATCTTCGTCTTCCTTTCTTATCTTCGTCTTCCTTTCTTATCTTCGTCTTCTTGATCTTGTTCTCACGTTTCTCTTCATCTTGGCCTTTGTTCTTCGTTTCCCCTTTCGTCGTCGCTTCTGCATTGTTATCGTCCTTCTCTTTTGTTCCTGTGACCGTTGTGACTGACAGGTGTGGTTCTCGATAGATACTGTCAGAATAAATAATTTATATTCGACAAGTAACTCATTGAATACTCACTGAATATGAAAGAGACACTGATAGGAAATCGTCAAAAACAATAGACCAATAACTCATAATCGTGAACCATCATGCATCGCTTATAAGAAATAATAATAGATAAAAAATAAATAAATAAGTTACCCATTTAATAAAAGGAAAATTTAACGCTATCTATTAAAAGGAAAATTTAACACTTATAAGAAATAATAATAGATAATAAATAAATAAATAAGTTACCCATTTAATAAAAGGAAAATTTAACGCTATCTATTTAATAAAAGGAAAATTTAACAAGTTACCTATTTAATGAAAAAAGTTAAAAAGTTGCCCATTCAATATATTTTTAAAACTTATCCCTTTAATGAAAAAAGTTAAAAAGTTACCCATTTAATAAAAAAAAAGATAAAAGTTACCCATTCAATTAAAAAAATGTTAAAAAGTTACCCATTTAATAGAAAAAAAAGTTTAAAAGTTATCCATTTAATGAAAAAAAAAGTTAAAAAGTTACCCACTTAATTTTTTAAAAAGTTACCCATTTAATTGTACAAAAAAGTTAAAAAGTTCCACTTAATTTTTAAAAAGTTACCCCTTTAATTGCAAAGAAAAGGGTTAAAAAGTTACCCAATTGATCTTAGAACCCGCCTCATGGACGCCCATCCAGCACACCACCCGCCTCGGCACGTTATCCGGCCGCAGGGAGGACACCATCGGCCAGAATCGAACCCACGCCTTCTACTACGCCTTCAGGTATTCTGCGCACTCCCTGTCATCGCCTTTCCCTTCGTTATTAAAGGTGCTGTCACACTAGCACTTTTTCCGTCAATTTTTTAAAACAATTTTCTGGAATTTTGTCCATTTTTGAGCGAATTGTCGATTTTCCAGTCAGACGATAATGATCGTTTCCGTCTGAAAACCTTAACGTCAACTTTTTCAGCCAAGCAAAGTCAGATCAAGTTATATTCGAGAATGTTTGTATTTATGTTAAATAAAATTGTCACAAAAATTTACGGAAAAAGTGCTATTGTGAAACGGCCTTTATGGGATTCGACGTCAGGTTCTGTTTATTTCTGATCGCTTTCTGGCAATTTCTTCCATGATGTGGAGTCTGAAACTAGGCAAGATTTAACGTAAGATTAACGTGTGAGAGTACTGGACACACCACGGAATACCATCACGTGGATTAAGCATTCTTTTGGCTCATTACCGTTGTGTTGGCGTAGCGGTAACGTGCTAGTCTAACCATCTTGCGGACCTGCGTTCAATCCCACGCCCGGCCAGTGAATGGTAACCCCGGCCATTCCTTGCACACAGAGGGAGATTTGGAAGCAAAATAAAACAGACGTTATGTCACAGCAAAGAATTTCCAGTGACAAATGGAATTAAAACTAAATCTTTAGATCTTTAAAATCTTAAATCTAAAGGCATTAGATTGGCACCGGTTAATGTGTGTCCTCAAGCTATATCCACAACCAAGAATTATTAAATAGGCCCATACTGATATCAGTAATAGGGATTTCAGTCATTCAACACACAGACACACCAACCACACCCTCTTAACCAGAAAAGAGGAAACCCTTTGCGAGACACAAGCTCATACACACTCTGACACAACTCTCGAACCGTTGCAGAGGCATACCCTACGCGAAGCCGCCCGTCGGGGAACTGCGATGGTCGGATCCCGTCGAGTCGGAGGACCGTTGGCCTGGCGGTCGCCTTGACGCCTCCGAATTCAAGGCGATTTGCCCGCAGTACGACACAACGACGAAGCGGGTGCTGGGTGACGAAGACTGTCTCCATCTGAACGTGTACACGGCGAAATTACCAGGTAAGACCAAGGTCTATGTAAGTATAAGTACTTATACAGACCTTGGGTAAGACTGGCCTCCCGCAGAAAAAGGGTCTAGTCACGGAAAAGGTCTTAAAAATCACTCTTTTTAAAACACTTTCTTATGCTTCATCTTTTGCAACTTTGTTACTTCAAGATGGTGAGAAAGTCGACGCCCAGGACTCGAAGGAGCTCCTTCCAGTGTTCGTGTTCTTCCACGGGGGCGGCTTCCTGCGGGGCTCGGCTGTGTCCCACGGCGCCGCGCGCTTGCTGGCCCACGACCTCGTCCTCGTCACCGTCAACTACCGCCTCGGGGCTTTCGGTAGCGGCTCTTTTTCACATATGTGTTCAATTATATATGTTAATGCATAAATGTGTGTGTGTGTGTATGTGCGCATTTTGTGTGCATGTATATTTAGGTGTGTGTGTGTGTGTGTGTCTCCATTCTTTAGCCATACTTTCACACAGGGTTTCTGAGTACGGGCGAGACAGCACTGGCCGGGAACTACGGCATGCTGGACCAGGTGGCCGCCCTCCGATGGGTCCAGAGGAACATCGCCCAGTTCGGCGGCGACAAGGACAGGGTCACCATCGGGGGCTTCTCCGCCGGCGCCGCCTCCGTCCACTTCCACTCGCTCTCGCCTCGCTCTCAAGGTGGGGGCGGAGAGAAAGAGGAAGAGGGAAAAGAAAGAATGTTTCTGTATGATGATAGTGATACTTATAATGATTCTGATGATGATAATGATTCTGATGATAACGAAGGAGGGAAAAGATAAAGTGCTTTTGAATGATAATAGTGATATAATGATGATGATAATGATTATGAAGATAACATATCACTTGCGATTTCTTGTACTCCTTGAACACAAATGTAAAAAAGCAAGTACCTGCTTATCATACCACTTCCTCCCACCATCTTCGCCAGGGCTGTTTCACGGCGCCGTCTTAATGAGCGGGAGCGCCAAGTGCTCGTGGGCGGTGCAAGAGAAACCTCGCGCCCACGCCCACCGATTCGCGCGTGAGCTGGGCTGTCCAGACGCCTCGGTCGCTGAGCTGAGGGCCTGTCTCCTGTCCAAGCGCACGGAGGAGGTGGTGGAGGCCCAGGCGAGGATGCATGTGAGAGGACTTTGCTTTTGGGACAGGGTTAGTTACAGCACGTGATGACACATACACACATACATACACACAGGCGCACATACACACATGCGCGTGCATACATGTGCGTGTGTGCAGCTGGTGCAAAGGTCTTCCTTCTTCGCAGAGATACATCTTCTGGCCGCTGCCCTTCAGCGTGGTGGTCGACGGGGGGCTGAGAGAGGGCCCCTTCCTCCCCGTCCCCGTGGAGAACCTGACCCCGAGGGCGCCAGTGCCAGTTCTCTTAGGAATGGTGCCGGAGGAGGGCATGCTCTTTGCATTAGGTATAATCGCCAACTTTGTGCAAAACAAGTATCAAACGTGCTTATGCTTTCTGATGTATCATGCATACTTAATATCCAAATTTCATCCTTATTTGCCATGCATCACTGAACATAATTGAAGACGTCACCAAGGAGTTCAATAGGAGACATCTCGCCCCTTCAAGGCACCATCCTCACCTCGAAGGAGCCGACCGACGTGGCTGCCGTGTACGAGGCCACGGCGCAGTACCTGGTGGCCGCTTTCCTGCCGGACAGCACGGCGGAGGCGGTGGCGAGGCTGGCCGAGTCCCTCTACTACACACCGAAGGCTAGGCGGTCCCTCAACGCCCTGGCGGAGGAGATGACGGAGGTGAGGGCCGCGCGATGTGGGGCTGGTTAGGAAGGGAGGGGTGTATTTGTATCCATATATGTGTGTGTGTGTGTGTGTGTGTGTGTGTGTGTGTGTGTGTGTGTTAATGCGAGAGAAAAGGAAGCAAAGGCATTGGAAGGGGCGCCTCCTTTGAAGCTAGCCCCGCCCTTCTCCCAACCGCCTCCCTGTCTCTTCTACAGGTTCTGACGGACTATCTCTTCTTGTCCTGCGTGTGGGACACTGCCTTGGCCTACGCCGAGGGTGGCAGCCGCGTGTACACGTAAGATAAGAGATGCATTTCTGTGTAACATCTGCGAGTAGTAACAGAACCCAGACAATGTTTAAAGGTCTCAGTCTGTGGAGTTACATTTTCATTTATAAACGGATTCGCGGAAATCTTGAGGCTGACTCGTTTTGGAAAAGCATTTTTTATTTATTTATTTATTTTTAAGATAATCGGGAAATACATCCCATCAATTCTATCCTAACTCGCCGTTTTCGATATTCTTTAAACATTCCAAATACGTTTTTCTCTTCCGTCGAACCAGTTACGTGATGACGCACAGAGAGCCGGAAGGGTACGCGTGGGCTGACGTAATATACCAAAAAGCTCGAGGAATTGGCATCACCACGCCCCTCTTGGATGTGGGCGTGTCCCATGGCGACGAGATGCTGCACGTCTTCAGCTTCCCTGGCGCCCTCGAGCACCTGCAGGACAAGGCGTCTGCTAAGGATGAGAAAATAGCTGCCTTTATGACCTCTGCCTGGGCTAGCTTCGTCGTGCATGGGTGAGGGATACTTGTGTTGTGTGTTGTTGAGATTTGACATATTTACTTGTTTTTTTTCTTTGAATCTGTTGTGATTTGTCTCTCTGAATATCTCAGTGTATGCTTGCTTGCTCTCTCTCTCTCTTCCCCTTTCCTTCTCTCTCTTTCTCTCTCTCTTTCCTTCTCTCTCTCTCTCTCTCCTCTCTTTCTCTCCATCTCTCTCCTCTCTCTTCCTCTTCTCTCTCTCTCTCTCTCTCTCTCTCTCTCTCTCTCTCTCTCTCTCTCTCTCTCTCTCTCTCTCTCTCTCTCTCTCTCTCTCTCTCCCTCTCTTCCCTCTTTCTCTCCCTCCCATCCTCAATCCACCCTCTCCATGTCCTTTATCCTCAATACCCCACTAAAAATCACAGAGATTTTTAAAAAAAGTTTTCCCGACACAGCGAACCCAGAACCACCCCGACCTGGGAACCGCTCGCGCCAAGGGAATCTCAGCCTTACATGAACCTCTCCCTATCGCCCGCCATGGTCCATTCGCCATTTAAAAAGCAGGTCAGTAGAATAAAGGTCGAAGCAAGAATATACAACGTGCAGTGGTTCTTTTGATATTTTAAACTGTAGTGGTTTTGTAATCAATGGTTCAAGTATATAGACAGCACATTAATATTATAATATGGGCTTGCAATCGTAGATGCATCTATATAACTAAATATTCACACACACACACACACACACACACACACACACACACACACACACACAGGGAGCTAAATTAGAAACAGCGAACAGAATCTGAATAAAGTCAAAAGAGCCTCCCACCAAACCTTAAATCATCATCAATATTTCAATCATCATTACCACCATTATCATCACCATACACAGACACGCATACACACACACACCGACACCATAAACTTTTCGTATTTTATTTCTTTTGCTTTTCCTCGCCCCACAGAGTCAGAATTTTTGGCGCCAAACGGTTCCGCTCATGACGAGTCCGCTGACAACCGCAGTATTCCATGGGGCGGCGGTGGAGCAGTGTCCGGGACCCTCCGCTCCTTAATTGTCTAAATATTCGCTGCCTTTTTCGTTCTTTTTTATTTTACATTCAACTTTAAATTGTTATATTTGCTGCTTTTTTTATTTTTTTTATTTTACATTCGAATTTAAATTGTTCTTCTCTTGTATATTGTTATTGATATTCTCGTGATTTTTCTTTGTTTTTCTTTTTCTTTCTCTTTTGTTTAGCGTTGATGTTGTTTTCCGGTTAAAATGTCTTGTTTGACAGAAAACCCAATTTTATGAAATTGTAAAATTAATAAAGCTATCAAAAAATAAAAATTGTAAAATTAATAAAGTTATCAACAAAATTATTTTTATTGGGCTAAAACACTGACGAACACAGTTACTTTTAGTCCTTCCGCGTCTGAAAAAAATGAACCGAATTATTGCTTCGAGAGCGACAACAGATCTGTGTCTCGGTGCTTCGAAGCTTCACTCATCCGAACCAATTCATGGTGCGTTCGGAACTGCTCGTCTTTCTCGTCCAGACCAGTTGGACGAGATGTTTTGACCGTTCGGAACCTCCACTATCTCGTCCCGGACAAGTAGTCTAGCTCGTCCAACTCGCCCTCCTGCGAAGGTGGCCGAGCAGGACGAGATGACGTCACAATGGATTTTGTATGTAAACATTGACAGTTGCAGGTAACCACAAGATATTGGTGTGTAGTTTTATGACCCTTTATTGGTGTTATCAAATGATATTTTTGTGTTAGTTGCAGGTAAGTTAAATATGCATCAAAGTTGTTACAAAACCGATGCAGCGTGTAAAATAAAGACACCGGTATGATAAAAAAGTGAATGTTTACATCCGAGCCGGTTGCATTCTGGGCAGAAAGGGTCTTGGAGGTTCCGAACGCGGCCCACTTGTCCTGCTGGTCCTGGTCAAGATGTCTGGACGAGCACGACGAGCAGTTCCGAATGCAGCATCAGACTAGATGAGTTTTAGCGGAGCCATGACAAGCTAAAATTATAAGAATCCTAAGAGTAGTTGGAACAGGAAAAGCAATAATATTTGTGTTTAATTAAAATGCCACCTTTAAATGAAATCATCAATCTTAGAGAATTGAATGCGTATTGCAAACAACCTGCTTCAACTAAAAACCTCGAGTACTCTTATTGTATAATATATCCAGTTGAAATTGAATTAGATCCTAAAGAACTAAATTATAAAATTAGACCACCGTTGGGATTCAGAATCGAAAAAAAAAATAGAAGTTATCAGAATAAATAAAATTAACAGTGACAAAGAAAAGAATGGATACCAACAAAATCCGTAAAGATAACACTTGAAGGAGTAATACCAGAAAGAGTTGCCATAAGACACACATCCTATAGAGTACAACCATACACCTTCCCAATCCCAAAATGTTTCAGAGGTCTTCATTATAGCCATGGAATTATGACATGCAGAAACAAAATAAGATGCAGTGAATTCAACCATGATTATAAACACTATTCAAATAATCCCTATTACTTTTACTGCCACGAGAATCCCCACTAAAGACAAACGCCTGTGAAATATACAAAATGGCACAACAGATATAACACAGAATATAACACCCAACATACTAGGGATAAGGAAACGGATTCATGAGTTGAAAACTTTCCCTAAACATAACGATAACAATTCCAGTGAAAACTACATGATGACACCAACACCAAACCACAACATAACACGAACAAACAATGAATATGTAAAAAAAAATAAAAATAAAAAATAAAAATAAATAAATAAATAAATATATAATCACTACACCAAAAAGAAGCCAAACAAAAATGAATCAGATAAGAATATTCCCAATAATGAAAATAGTAAACATAAATATAGAAGACCCAAGTATGGACATTTCCAACCCCAATTAGAAAAAAGAAACACTGAAAGAAATACACTAAAAAGTAAAGACTCCTCTTGTATAGAAACAATAAAGAATACAATTAGAATTGGATCATAAACAGTATAAATTCAGACAAAACATTTTAGAAATAAACAGACACAACAACAACAACAACAAAAAAATCCCCCCACTATTAAAACAATCATGACATTCCTTAAAAAAAATAAGAAATGCTAGATCGATTTTAAGTAAAACCAGATAATTGAATCATCTATTAAATATAGAACAATCAGAGGTACTGACATTACATGAAACAGTTAAAAAATATAGATAGACACTTTCAATTTACAAAATCAAATCGTAAGACACGACAGATCAGACCAAACTGAAGGAGGTTTAGCTTTTTGCATAAAAAATAATTTGTAATATAATCAAACAAATCTAAGAGATGGACTAAAGAACAAACTTGAAGTAGTGGGAATAAACATGTCACAAAAACATCTGGATGAATATTTTAATACTACATATCTCATGCACCAACCTACATCAAATTGAAATAGAAACCTATGAAAACAAATGACCCAAAATACAATAATAGGAAACTTCACTGCACACCATACCAGCTGTAACCCAAAATGAACGTAAAACATACTAACAAAACAAGTAGGGCTATTTAAGTAATGACAGAAATTAACATTATGGTAATCCCCCCGGCCAGACCACAGGAATAGACCTGAAAACGCAAAAAAGACATTACTGTAGACTTATTTCTAGCTTCTATTCTGAACCACCTTCAGATAGACACAGGGCCTAACCTAGGAAGTGGCCATTTACCAATGATAATGAGATAACACAAAGGAAAGACATCTGTTCTTCAACATATTTTAGCAACCCATTCCCAAAAAAGGGAAACATATAAAAAGATACTGATAATAATAATAAATAATAATGATAACGGGAAAGACAACACAAAATAGCTACCCTTTAATAGATAGACACTAACCAGTCACATAACACTAACCAGTTACATATTCTGTAAGGGAAGAACTAAACAACCCAAGTAATGCACAAATAAATAAGATCACTATGAAAACTATAATCTCAGCAATAACAAATACGAAAGAAATAATAAAGCAAATGGATCCGATGAAATCCCATATGAATTTTACAAATATTACCCCCCCCCCCCAATTTTTTTTTTTTTTTTTGTTATAATCATAACAAAATTTATTGGATTAGAGGAGAAAACGCGTAAGAGAAGGAAAAGCAGTGGGGATGTGAGAGAAAAAAAAATGAAGGAAGTTTAAGACCGAAAGGAATAAGTGAACCCATATCTTCCTTTTTTTCTATCAGCAAGGGATCTTATTGATATTTATTGTGAATTGATTCTATAAAAAGCGCCAAGGAAAAATGGTGGAATGTGCCTGGGGAAAACAAAGTTAAACTGATCAAACAAAAAGGAATGTACTAAAGTTTAAAAAAATCAAAATGGCCAGATCAAAGGAAATACAAACCAAACACATGATGAAAGATATTAACAGAAACAGATGGTTGAAGACGGCTAAAAGTAGTAATGTAAAGGCAATGAAGAGCACGGTGATGATGTGGACAAATTTGCAGGCACGTGAGTGAATAAATGACATTGAGGAATACAAAAAAGCGCTTTTGTTTTTTATTTTTTTATTCATTATTATTTTTTTTTTAATGAAAAGTGCAAAAGTGTCAGGCAGTTGTGAAAAAAAATGTATATTTACGTATATGTAAGCATTAATTATTACTTTTTTAGGGTTAATGAACGCCTAGGTCTACATATAACTGAATACCTTAAAAAGTCAATCTAGTGTTTTTGTTTGTTTGTTTGCTTTTTTTATAGTGTGACTACTTTATTTATGCTGCATTGAAAAAAATAGTATGTCGCCAATAATACTGTTCGTTTTTATTTTCTATCATTTAGGCAAGTAATAAAATGGATGTCTAAGAAACTATTTTGTTGTTTCCGACACGAGTGGCTCTAACTACGAAGTTTTCAAATGTGAATCATATATCAATTTGATTAGTTAAAAGCATACATTTCACATCAAAATCTTGCTCTCATGTACTTTTTAAGCGCACATCTTTTTTATCACTTTCCCTTCTGTAACAGAATTCAGTTGTGCATCTCTTGGTTTGACAAATCGTGTCCACAAATAGAGTATTACACAACGTACAGATGTATGGTAACAGTAGAAATACAACTAGGCAACAAGTGATACTGAAATGGCTGTAATCATGTGGACATGTAATTTCCTGTAAAAGAGAGAGAAAACCCATGTGTATGGATATGCGCATTTTCTCTTCCTTATCAATATATAAATATAAACTCTACGTTCCCCCCAACATTTTGTACGTTCTTAATAAGGACAAACGATAAAGAAAATAGTAAAATTATGTTTTCTTCTTTCTTGTTATTGGATTTTAGATTAACATTGTCTATATCTCCTAAAATGATTTAACGAAATCGCCAAAGTAAAGGGAAACCGAGTTAATAACATTGTCTTCCGCAGTGTAAGCGCCGCCCCTGTTAAAGCCCCTCCCCCCCTCAAGAACGAAGACATTTAATGCTTATCAGAAATTTTATGAAAGGTAAAGCTTCTTCATTTTATTTTTTTGAAGGTTTCTAGTGCGGGAGGACAGATTTCCTGCTTATTTCAGTGAGTTTAGAGTGGAAATTGGAATTGTGAGACATCTTGTATCGTAGGAACTGTGAGAATATATGGTTGCTAAGTTACGGTTTTAAATTTATGTAGTTGTGTGTATTTAGTTTATTAGTTAGGGTATGTTATTGTTATCCATTTGTGATGTTAAACTATGAAAAGGGACATTTTATTGAAGATTACAGTAAGAAAAATAGTTGTGTTGGGAAAGGCATTTTAACATGATTTTGTTTTTCAAAAGCGTTTTATAACTTTATTTGTTTCCATATTTGTGTATTTTTTATCTGTCTTGTTTTACTTTGTTAGATTTTATCCCATGTGTATTGGGGAGAGAGAGGGAAAGGTTATAATGGTTATAAAGAACAGAAGAGAAGGAGAGTTGGGAGGTAGAGAAAGCTAAGGTCACAGCCAGACTGTAGAGAGTGATTCCCCGCGCAAAAATTATTTGGTCAAATTCTGTCCCCGCAAATGTAGTTCTCGGGTAACTGTCCGCACACACTTAGTTCTTTTTTAGATCATCTTCCGCGCATAAAATTCTTTTGACCTTTCCGCGCACTTGTTTCATCATCCGACCGCAGATATGTCTGCAAAAATGTAAACAAAATGATGTTTTCTGTGCATGAAAAAATGTAATATTCCCTGCACAAGAAAAATACTCTACAGTCTGGGGTCACAGGCATTAAGAACGTGTAAGATAACACATTTTAGTATAAGAATGAATGGTAATAGTGACGCGTATAAATTGAGGGACATGGACACCGCCATCTTATAGATTGGGAAAAATGGAATGTGATACAACATAATTAAACTTAATGGTTAAGAAAGCTTTTGGATATGTTGTATGCAGGGGGTGGGATGTAGGTGTGAGATGTAAATTTGAGATGTATATGAAAATATGTAACTAAAACATATAAACTAATTATGCTAGCAATAGCCATCTGGACAGTGACATTGGTAAGTTACTCATCTTATTATGAAGAATAACAAGTATGGATTAATCTTATAAACAAAGTAAATGAGGACAAGCATAAGTTAGTTTTATACTTATTTCAAACTTGACAAGTTTAATTTAGTCTTGTATGTGAAAGAAAGGTCCGAGTCCCTAATTTGTCCTGTTCCCAGTGGATGGATGTCCTTTACTGCATACCCTAGGACAGTCGTCTCTATGGGTACTTCTCACTGACATGGCTCAAATAAAAAATATGCAATGCTAGGGTAAGTTCTCCGTACAGAGTGGTTCTCTTCTTTCTTTTTTCAGTGTAAATACTGTAGTTGACCTGAATAGCTTTCATAATTTTAAGCAGGCCCATATGTTATACATCTTTGGTGTATTGTATATATTGTTCTCGGAGTAAAAACATAGTACTTGCTTGGTGTTGTAACGTTTGTCCTTTCTTTACCTTGTGCTAGATTTTTAGAATGGCAAAACTGTTTTGCATTGTGATAATATAAGTGAAAGAAAATGTATGAAATATTTCTGTGCAATTTTCATGGGGTCCTGTAAATTGTCCTTTAAATACCTTTAGTTTTGAAATAATTTAGCTTTGTTATTTTTCACTACAAGATGATTGACTTCTGCTGTAGTTATTTTTCTCTAGGAGGCAATATGTAAGAGTTGTGTCTGCCCACAATATTGAAAATGCCCTCCAATTCTTTTTGTATGAAGACAGACAAAAGACACCTCAGCACTAACTTGAAAATAAAAGAAAAATGTTTAAGTGACAAAAGTGAAAATAAATGTATTGGATTCATTCTTCAACTATTATTCTGTTCATGAAGATTATAGCTTATATTCATATTTTTTTTTTTATATTTGATATGTTAGTCATCTGAAAGAGAAATGTGGAAAGGCTCTCGTGAATAAGGAATGTGCACATAGTCACAGTTTATGATAAACACTTTTTTGTAGATATTTCTTTTTCATTAGTAGTAGCTGTATTTTTAGTAGTTTAGAAAAATGGCTTGTTTTGAAATATACTGCCATTATTACTCAAGATTCTTCCTTTCTGTTCAGGTATTTTGTCTTGCAGATAATAACGATCATTAGCACATTCCATAGGACAATATTTTTAACCATGGCTCTTTAGAGTTTATTTTGTGCAAAAGGCCAGGACTACTCTTCATTAAGATATATATTATTGCAGTAGTACTGTGACTTTCTTGTTTTCATCTTTTAAATGAAATTACTGTTTTTGTATGTGTTTAGAAGATACTAAAGCATTTACAAGTCCCTTAACTGTGTGCCACAATTAGGTTGGACATCAGACTGTAAGCATGGAGTGTTCCAAGTATATTTGGATTGAAAATATTCAGTAGGATTATGGGGAAATAGTTCCATTTGGAAAGCCATTGTGAATATCTTCTAAGCATTTACCACTGGCTCTTTCTTGTATTTGTATGATATCTGGTTGAAAAATATTTAAAGTTTTAAGTTATTGGACTTGTTACATCTTGTGCATTTTTTCATAGTTACCCACTTCAATGGTTTTAGTCAAAGAATATGACCATATTAAGGGTAATAGTAGTTTTGGCAGGGAATTTCAGACTTTTGGGGGGGGGTGTACTGAATATTTATTTGGTTATTAGACCAATCATTCTCTCCCATATGTATACATAATATACTTTAGATTGTATGTATGTAATATTTAAACCTTTCTAGTTTTTTTTTTCAGAAGTGCACAGAAGCATTGTTACGTAAAATCTTGTCACAGGAAGCAAGTAGTGTTTGCGCATGTAACTATGCAATTTCTAAGCATGATAATGAAACATGCTAAAGTGAATGGTCCAGTAATCAGGCTGTTCATTTGTCTTTTGTGTCCCCTGTGACTTTATCCTCTAATTCTTAGTGTAGGTGCGTGAGACTGAGTATCTGACAGCTGAAAAGCATTATTTGTCAGCCTCACGTGTCTGTTTGGTGTTTTGGATCCACACATCAGGGTTTATTTCCCATGACGCCTCCGTTCCCATTCTTTGTAACCATACTTGCTCATTGATCGTGTGACAAGGCCATTTGTAGGTGATTTCATAGGCATCTCAGAATAGTGATTAATGGTGTTTAAGGATATTCAAGATATTTTTTATTGCGTGTGTGTGTGACTTTATGACCACACAGGTATTTTTTTTTTATATAAAATGGTTATTCACCTATAGAGTAGAGTGATATTAAAGGAAGCCTTTGTCCATTAACAGGAAAAATATCAACTATCATAACGATATCAAAAAGTATTATAATAGTTGTAGAAAAAGTTAATTGGTTGGAAATATATGTTAAGATTGATTTTTTTTTTTTAGGGTGTTTAAAATATTTTGGAGTCCATATGAAGGTTAAAGAGATATGTGAAACTAGTCCCTTTATGTGTTTTAGAGATAGAATCGCTAAGTAGACTTGTTTTTCTGTTTATTCAGAGGCCTTACAACATTAACTAAATAAGATTGATAACTTTTTTTTGTTTTTTTTAGAATATTCAGGGAACTGCTTGTATTCTGTCTGCTTTGATGCCAGTATTGTGTCTAGAGTAAAGGATATATATAGAGAAAGTTACGAACAAGATAATAACTTAAAGAACATGAATCTAATTATTGTCAGAAAAGCCTAATTGCTCTTATAAATGTGTAATATGTACCTTGTAACCTCAGTTTTAATTAGAGTATGCCTTATGATGTGTATGAGTACTAAAAGATAGGAAGAAAGATGTATGCAAAAAAAAGAAAGGTGGATTTAAAAATGCTTGACTATGACACAAGTTATAAGAAGAATTCTATTTAAATTTGATGGTTTTAGTCTTTTAAAAGAATTTTAGTTTAGCATATTAGGTAAGAATAATATATGCTAACTTAAAAATTATGAAAACCTAATCAACTGACAGCAAAATGTAATTATAATAATTTGACAATGTTTTGTATTGTGTATACATATTTCCTACATATAATTTAGCAAATATTTAGTATAAGACTGGGATATTTAATGAATCTTATCAATCTCTTTCAGTGGAATGTGATGGGCCGTACATCTCGCATTGTCGTAGTGGGAGCCAAGGGAACGGGGAAGACTTCCATACTGGAGAGAGCTATCTATGCCAACCCTATTACCAATAAGGTAATTAACACAATGCCTCCGAGAAAATTTAGTGTTCACTTTAGTATTGTTTTATTAATGTCTCTGCACATAGATGGCTCTGTCAGTGCTTAGCCACCAAGGAGTCACCTGATTTCACCTTTCGTTGAGTTTTCAGGAAGCTTTTTTTTTTTTTTTTTATGAATAAAGCTTTCAATATTGATACTGTTATTTTTTTTTTTTTTTTTTTGTAAAAATCATAATTACTATAATGTTATTGACATTACTAACAGCAGTATATAAAGGAAAATATCGAAAATCAAGGAAAAGGGTAAACAGGTGGGGCAGGTAGTTCTTGTAATTGACCCATTGGTGACTAAGTATTTGATTACTAAATAAAAAACACAATGGGCATGGCATGTATGCACATGCCATCCCCTGCAGCATGTGGTTAATGTATTCTGATTGAGAGGAATGTTTTAACAACAATTAAAAATCTTGCATAACTATAAGAGGAGACTTTTAAATCACTTCTGTTATGAGGAAATATTGTCATGCTCAATGTTGATATGATGTGCCAATGATGATAATAGTTGTTGATGTCGGTATGATACTCAGTGTTCTCAGTATTCATCCAGAGTAAGTGTTATGCTTGCTGCAGTATTTCTTTTCTATCGCTATTCTCCAAATTTTACAGCAATATGCCCCAACTCTGGAGGACACATATGTTGGAATCGTAGAAACAGAGAGAGGGACCCGTGAGAAGCTGCGGTTCTATGACACGGGTGGTCTGGACGCGCGGAATAGAACCCTCCCTCAGCACTACCATGCGGTGGCAGATGGCTATATCCTAGTCTACTCCATAAATGATAATATATCCTTCCAGCTTTTGACAGATATAAAGAAGGATATTGATAAGAATAAGGACAAAAAGGATGTAAGTATCAAGAAAGCTTTTTTATAAGGTCTTATGAAATGCATGTTATATAAAGGTTGATATGAAGTGATCTTTAGGTAAAACTGACCAGTTATTATGATTTTTTTCTAAGAACATGTACAATTTCTTGTCATGCTGCAGCCAACCAGATTGCGAGAGTAAATGCTAGTATTTATTTACTGAGTTGCTCAGATTCTGTTTGTATTGATTTGGCTTTTACCCTCAGGGAGTGCCTGGATACATATTTTAAAAGAATGTTCATTGTAGAAGAAAGCCTTTCAATCACCATTTTAGCATTTTGAGCAAATTATTCTAATAAGATGTTGAGACTGAACAATTCAGGGAATAATATGCATTAAATGAGAACATTTCTCAATACTTGATTTATGCGGTTTTCATTGATTGCATCTTGTAGATTTTTTCTTTCCCTTTTGCGTGTTGTGGGTATGATTAGGCTATTGTTGATACCAAATTCTGATTAGAAAAAATGTCAATACATGAAATTCAAAAATTGTACTCAAACCTGCAAAAGGGGTTTTGAAATTTGCTTTAGTTTTCTGAAAAAAATTAGATACCCCCCCCCCCTCTCTCTCTCTCTCTCTCTCTCTCTCTCTCTCTCTTCTCTCTCTCTCTCTCTCTCTCTCTCTCTCTCTCTCTCTCTCTCTCTCTCTCTCTCTCTCTCTCTCTCTCTCTCTCTCTCTCTCTCTCTCTCTCTCTCTCTCTCTCTCTCTCTCTCTCTCTCTCTCTCTCTCTCTCTCTCTCTCTCTCTCTCTCTCTCTCTCTCTCTCTCTCTCTCTCTCATATTCATATTCATGCACGCACATACACAGGGTTCTCAGCAAATCTTAATAAATATCACAAATGCTTTACTGAGGTATATATATTATGTTACCATTTACTGAGAACAAGATGCAGGCTTTTTCCTCATCTAGAGACCTTGTCGCTTCTTTACAAAAGCTTAGTCAAGGGCAGAGGCATCATTAAAACCATAACATTTGTATGAACACGGGTACCTGTAGAATATTCTTTATGGTGTTTGCTTTACAGATATGCATGTATATACAAATGCATATTTAAAATAAATGTGTTAAACTGGTGAAGACCATATTGAGTTGTAATGTATACAAGGAAGGAACAAGAGATTCTTCCTTCCCTCTATTTGGGATCCCTAAAACTTGGTTGTAGTCAGGGCATGATGGTGATACAAAAAAAAAAAAGAAAAAAAAAGAAAGAAAAAGAAAAAAAAAATAGAGATCACTATTTTCATTGAGGTTTTATCAGTTTATCTGCCTCATAAAGACTGCTTTGGGATAGTTTGTGGGTATTGTTTTTATGGGCCCGTTTGAGTAGGTATTCAAAATAATTGCTAAGGACCCAGTGCCACTTTATTTTTGAAGGTTAATGAAGATAGAGCTAGATGGCTGATTTTTATTTTGTTAAGGCGCTGTGGTAAAGGTAGAAAAAGCCATTCTGAGAACTTCTGAGTCCTAATTGCAATTTTAATGCAAATCCCATCCTCCCTTACAGGGTTGTCCTTTAAATTTCTATGGTTATTTTAGCTCATTAGAACACTGTATGACATTGGAGAAAATATTTTTTAGATTTGTTTCCTATATACTCTCCTCAAAGACAATTTAGATGTATCTACGTTTCTTTCTCTTGAAGAAGGAATAGATAAACAGGTACCCCAAATAGTGCTATGTGAAGAAATAACTGAACATCATATTTCTATAGAGAAAATGTCAGCAAAGACAAGAGAGATAGACCTGGTTCAGGGACAGGTTTTAATTATGAAGAAATCTTTGTATTTACAACAGATGTTATGTATGTAGGGAAAATGAAATGAACCTGTATAAAGTATTCTGATAATTTGCCATTAATAGTAAAAACATTTTTTTTATTTGCAGTGAAAATAATATACTAATGACTGTTCTGTTCACATTTCAGGTACCAATAATTATTTTGGGCAATAAATCAGACTTGGGAGAGGACAACCGTGTTGTTGATCCAGGCTCAGCAGAGAAATGGGCAGCCAATGAGAGATTGCGTTTGTGGGAAGTGAATGTCCACAACCGAAATTTGTTGTTGGAGCCCATCATGAATCTTGCCTCTCGCCTCAACCCACAGCCAAGCAAGACCTCCTTCCCACAGCTAACGATGGGCCGGAAGAACAAAGACTGACTGTGGAGTGACTGGGAATTTATGAACTATGTTATTCATAAGATTCATGTCTTAACTACTTGTGGAAATTGTTGTAACAGTAAGTAGAATGTTTTAGGTTTCTTTATATTTAAAGATATGAAGATGATGTATTTATTTATTTTTTCTTCTTCAACAAGCAGCAAATTCTACATCACCTTCAAGAGTCTCTCTTTCCTCTTTGTAAAGAAAAGCAGCAAAAGCACCTTCAGGCAGAAATAAATAAACCAATGGAGATCTGCTGGATAACTTTAATGTTGGCCTCTTTGTGAGCAAGAGCTACTACACCATTGACAACTAACATGTAAATGCCTCTCCATTTCCTCTTCTTTCTCTCCTCTTTCACCTATTCTTCTTATCTCCTGCCAGTCACAAAGAGTTAACGGAGGAAAAGACAACATGAAAGCTGACTTAGGTATGACTGTTTACAACAAGCATGAAGTTTACTAATGTTTTTCATCATCATGATTCCCAGTAATGAAGAGAAAATTTCTCATTATGCAGGTGGTCATTGCAGTTCTGACCACAAACTGACATCACAGCAAGGAAATGTGATATTATGCAGTTTCATAGAGCTTTTTGGTAGACTGTGCCCCTTTGTGTTTTTTATATAAATGAGTGAGCTTGGTAGAGGAGGATATATGCATATATATTTATATACAATGTATATTTTCATGGTAGTTATTTGAAGATATGCTTTGGTTTGTCTTAGTCTGAGTATTGCAGTTATTGCAAATACAGTAAAGGCAGATGATAGTCTATCAAGAAGGCAAGAAATATAAATGTTGGTGCTTACATTATAATAGCTTTCAAAGTAATATAGTTTAGGTTAATAATAGAAAGGAAAATGGAAACTAGTTATGGAATACATGTGCATGTCTGCATGAACATTTGCTTGAAGTGCAATTTAGCAGTACAGTATATTCATAACTTACATAATATATACGTATATGCTAATTATGTATATTAATTAAATATCACTACATATGTAATACAGAGGGGCATAGTCTAAAAAAAAACTTGAAACATTTTGTCGTAAAGTGCAGAAGACATTGTGTAAGTGATATTAAGGGTAAGTTGAATGTTTGCAGTTAGATCAATTTTGATCTTGTTCATATGCCTTCACATACATGTTGCCAGTGTGTTGCAAAACAACTAGGTAATCTTATTTTATATACTGTGAGTCAAGTGAATATGCAATTGTCTTCATTTTTAAAATTAAATCTAAGGCAAAATTATAGTTATCATTGCTGTAAAAGTTGATCTGATGAATGCATTACAATCTGCTTGTAAGAATATATAGCTAGCTTTCCTTGCTTTGCTGAGATTGATATCAAGATATTATTGGCTTTTATTTTAGAAATGAATGTTAAGTGCATTGTATTTTAACACACATAAATTATGCTAAACGGATTATATTTGGTATAGGCATATTTGTCCCCTTGCTTAAGTACCGAAAACTGTTCATTGGTTTAGTAAAATATTTCAGGCAAAGCAGCCTCTGAACTCAAGCATATTAGTCCAGAGGTAACAAATGTGCCCTCTATATAAGTGATATACACTGTAATGAAGATGCATGATTTTTTTTCTTCTGTGAAATAGGTTTTAATATCTTCAATCTGCAATGTGGATTAGCATCTCTATTGGTCTGTAAACAGCCTATCAACTAAATTGCCAGTGAGGAAAGGAATCTTAATTATGTTATTTATATTTGTTTGCTTATTATAAAAGTTATTTGATGAATCCAGAAGTGGACATCTAAAAAACTGCAAAGTAGCACAAAGGACCATCTTCAGGAATATGCATAGATTTATGAGTGGGATGCAGTTCTTATCTTAGGACTGATTTTCATATAAAGTTTGGATCCTTGGCATGTCAGGTTGTTTTAATGTTGTTCAGCAGAAGCCCATAAATACTGCAAATTTATAATCTCATCATTCCATAGATCTAGTTAATGCTGCAATCTTGTCTTTTATAATTTAGCACTCTGTGCTTATTTCCACTTTTATTAAAACATTCCACAATATTCTTTCTTTCACTGATATAACCTTGAAGAAGAAGAGTTCTGTAGTTCACACAGAATATATGTACTCACCAGGAAATACAAATGTAGATGAAACGTATCCATGTTGACAAATGTAGAAAAGGTATGAATGAGACTAGATATCTTCACAATACAAGAGATGTATTTGACCGGTTTCGATTACGTCTTCATCAGAAATACATGAATTTCTGATGAAGACGTAATCGAAACCGGTCAAATACATCTCTTGTATTGTGAAGATATCTAGTCTCATTCATACCTTTTCTACAAATGTAGATGTTACAGATAGTAAGAGTTCATACTCCTTTTTAATTATTTTGGTTAATATTCAATGCTTTATAGATACACATTTGGTGGCAACTGCGTGAGGTCAACTCTTCTAGTAAATACTGCTTTTGTTTTTCAACTAGGCTTCATAAAAAGATGTACTTGCTGAAACTTGTATTATTGGAATGCAATAATGCACTTCTGTGGTATTGACAATTTTTAAGTAAAGAGTATCAATACTTACTTTTGAAAACAAAAATAAGGTTGCATTAATAAAACACCAATATCTGTCTGACTAATTTGATGTTATTACAGGACTTATTGTTAACAAATATATAAATATGTACAGAATCTTGCTACAAACTATTTCGCTGTCTTTTGTAACAAGATACAATAGGAATCTTTACACAGCATGGAATTGTTACCTTCATGGGGGCAACTCTGGCGTGGTTTGTGCTTGTGGGACTTTACCAGCATTAACTATATTTACTAAACATCTCACTCCATGGGTCAATGGTTCCAGACTACACTGTACCTGGAATGAATGCCTTACTTTGGATATCTGTCAGTCCAAGGCATGGGTTAGTACAGTGCAGTACTGGCAAACCATGACTACAATAGCTAGCAGGTATCTTGCAAATCTCAAATTCCTTTCAAATATGAATGAATCTACTTCAACATGATATACCACAATGATTCTTAAAAAGAGACTGCCCATACATACAGTGAGTGCATATGAAGACTCTTATCCCCCAGTGCCGGTAGTCTGCCCCCACACACATCACAGCTGTAATCTCTTGCCCCTGTGTTACCTCAGTTGAGAAACCACTCTATTTCCCATTAATATTTCCAAGTACTGCTGGAACTTGAGGGGAACACACTCCCCAATATATTAAAAAATAGACCGACCACAAACAGCCGATTTTTCTGTTCATCGATCCATGGTGTTTACTTGTCAGTACTTATGAGATGTCTAATACTGAGTGTGCACTTTAGGAGCAGATAGTTACTGAAGAATGAAGACAATTATGATGGCTGAGCACCGGAAATCACAAAGACTGATTGTGGACCCAGCCTTACTAGCCTCACACTGCCATTTTGCCCTGACTAGATGATATATAGTTTACTTCCTCACCCACTGCTTTTCTTAACTATTCCCCACCTCAACATTCTAATGAGTTAACATAATTCTCTTATTTATATTATCACAAATCAGGCATAGCTTTAAAAGCAAGAATTGTAATCATGAAACGCGACCCAGTCTAATTTATATCAAGAACATCTTCCTGGAAATTATATCATGCAAGCCTGGGTGACGGTCAGTTCTGAGTGGCATCTCCCTTCACAAAGGCCTTCAGACCACCTAGAGTAATGGGTAGTAAAGAACCACTTTATTGATCCCAAGTCTGCATGAAACTGTGATAGAACACTGAAGTTGTATACAAGGAATTAGCATACACTGAATAAATATAAACAAAAAGCTGCACACTTTGTGACGATGCCTGGCAGACATTTGCTGTAACAGCAGCAACTGGACACAAACTTTAATATACAATTAGTTCACATGTTATGGCTCGTTGGAATGCTCATTACACTAGGCACTTTCAGATTGAACTCCTAAAAGGTAATAACCAATTTATAGATAGCACATAATCATGTATAACCATTTCTTATCTCTTTATATAACCATGACCAAAGAACCTATATATCAGAAAAAAAGAAGAAGAAGAAAAAAAAAAATAACTGTGAACCATTATTGGGAGGAAATGTTTTGACTAATCAGACAAATAAGAATCTGTTATCAAGATACTAAAGAAAACCTAAACTTTCTTCATTTCGAAGTTATCATATAATCAATAGCTGTACTATACCTAAATTTTAATGTCAGCTAAAGATGATTATTATTTATTTTGAGCAACTGCATCAAACTTAACCTACCATTTAATGTAAACTGTAAATTGTACACGAGCCTACTGTAAACTGAGCGTAGCAACAACTACATACTCTAAAAATTTAGAATGACTCAATTTTCTTTTCTAGAATCTTAATATATCTTTGTTCAAATGGAGAATTTATTGAAGTATAGGTACTGAGTTTGGCTTACTATTTTGTTTTTGTTTTTGTTTTTTATAATCTTCAAATCTACATATTTTGAACATTCCTCAAGTTAAGCTAAAGGTCAAATATATTGAATATGGACTACAAAACATGACTTTTCTATAAAAACTATTCAAGATCCATGACGTAACTTATTTGGGGGGTAACTAAGAAATGCTAAAAACCTAGAGCAACAAAAATTCCTCTAGTGGAAAACTGTACACTTTGTTACCCACCAAAGTTCAGTGTATTATTAGTAGCAAAATATAGACGAAATTCACTGCAAAACTATTATCATCAATGAAGTGTCATACAAACTTAAACATGGATTAACTATGTTCAAAATCTAAACGAACATCATATAGAGATCAGGTTCCTTATATATCGCCTCTCTGGGAAATACTTCAATATATTAAATTATTTATAGTGATTAGTAACTATATAGTCTATGACAATGCTCATACAATTATCAAATTTATAGAGGTGGATAAATTACCTATAAGTTGTATCGTCTTTTTTGTCCTACCAAGAAAGCAAAACTTTTTTTTTTCTTTTCTTTTTTTTACATAAACAAACCTCAACAGCTAAATGCTCTTTAAGTACTGTTTGATGTTCTCTTTGTAAATAACCCTTGGATTTGTTTTTTACCATTTCAAAAGGAAACTATGTATCTAAATCTCTACAGAATAAGCAATAACTGTTCATCATGTCAAATGAGTTTATGCTTCTTCCATACAAAACAGCTTGTTGAAAATCCTGTGAATGCAAAGTATTTCAATGTATTTTCTACAACCACTAGTGGAAAGAAGTAAAGTAACTGCCAAAGTTCATCTTCTATGCAAGGAAGATCTAGTGACTTAAAGGCTTAGAAACATCTTTCACGAGTTGTAGAAAATTACTTATATGAAATTTGGATACTACTTTTTTTTCTTGACATAAAATATATTTCATTCCTGTTGGCTTTTGATCAAAGACAACACCCTTACCTATCTTCAAAATTCTCTCCTGAAATGTTGTTGAAAAGTCTCTTAGTAATCCCTCTATGCTAAAAAATAAAAGTAAATGTCACTTCTTGCTAAATTTTGTGAAGAAAATTCTAATACAGCATCAACATACAAGTTTTCATTTTCACAGCCAGATAACACTCTCTTGGCAGAGAATTAATTGCTCTATTACCCTAGATTGTCACTCACATTTCCATGCTCGTCTCCCAATAAACTACAGATACCAAATGAACTAAGCAAATATGCCTTGCAGTTGTTCACACACTGGGCACGGTCACAGAGCTCAAAAGTAGCAAAACTGTCTTTGGCAGTGTAACAATATTTCTGTTTAATCTTCCCTAATTCTTTTCTTTAATATGCAAACAAATAAACAAACAAAAATACGTATGTCTGAAATATGGGTTCAGGAAAAAAATATATATATTGGCAGATGTGGAGAAAGTATGTTAAAAAAATAAATAAATAAATAAACAATTAAAAAAGAAAAAGAGAAAAAAAAAAAAAGCAAGAGTCAGAAGCCACAACAAATCATGGGTTTATATGTGATAAGGGCTCCTATGTGGCCAGGTCTTGCACCCACTCAAAACATGGGATGATTTGCTTTCCTCTAGGAGTGGTGCTGGTCATATGAGAAGGAGAATGTGTGCCGGTAGGCGAGCCTGGGCGGTGGCGTGGGCGGGTGCTCATTGGGTTCAGCTGCAGTATCATTCATGCTGCTTCCTGGTAATGCTGTGGAAATTTTTTTGACTCAATTTAAATCTGGGGATATGGATGCGTAATTATAGTGTATGCATAAACACACAAGTCTGATTATACATACTGTAATATTAATAGTGATACAGGTATTTAAAGTAATATAATAATGCTAATACATTCATATTGATAAAATAAAATCAAACAAATACTTTGGAAATTAATATTGATATGGAGTGATTAATGATGATTTTAAAAATTAAAAGACTAAAATCATATATTCATTTTACCCAAATGATATCACTATGCATGAATTATTCACTATGGTTTAAATAATTTTACATAATTTAAATAATTTTGTTTACACATCAATGGATCTGCAAGCACTTAGTCACAAAGGAGTCTATTACTAGGCCTACCTGTCCTTACTCATTTCCCTATCCCTTGAATTTTTGGGAAAAAGTTATTTCTATTTCTGCCGTGATTTTAGTTTATCAGTATTATTTACATACAACAGGCACCATATATGCTTAGTCACCATAGAGTCAGTTCCTTTGCCTACTTAATCTCGCCTATTTACCCTACTGCTTAAATTTTCATAAAAAAGTTAAATTTATTATAATCATTGGTACAGTTCCAACCATTAAAGTAATAATATAAAAATATAATAACAGTATTAAAAATAGAAACTTTTTTTCTATAATTATTCCAGGAATAATGTAAATAGGCAAGGTCATGTTGACCTAATAAATAACTTCTTCATGACTAATTGCTTGTGTAAGCAACATTAACATAACAAAACTACAATTGACTGTAGGTTATTAGCCCTTATGATAGTGACACCAATAAAAAATCAATAAATGCGGCAAACAAATGAGATTAGGCTGGCCTTGTTGTGTTGTGACTCAGTTGTGACTCAACCAAATGAGGAGACATTTGCATGTAAATAAAATAAATAAATCCAAAAAAAGTGGGCAACATATGTACCTGGCATCGATGGGGTACAAGAGTGTAACTAAAGAACCCATTATCTTGTCAGTTTAAAAAATGGTTGTCTCATCACTTATGTTCTTAGAGCCTATCATATTATTTTGTATTTCATAATTCCTCCTACTTAAATTATATACTGGTACTGTATGTGGTAGTTATGGATAATAAAATAATAATAGCAGCAACAACAACAACAACAACAACAATAATAATAATAATAAATGATAATAAAAAAGAAACTATCATTAATACACTTTCTAAAATCATGAAATAAAATCAACTGTACTGGATCTTCCCCTGTTCCAGATGGTCATTTACCTGCTTGAGGTCCATTTGTATGTCTCCTTGCCATAGGCGTAGGCGACGAAAGGTCCACTGAGTTGTTGCGCCTGTGAGGAGGAGGGTCTAGGTGGTACTGCTGGACAGGGGGTGGTGGGGCAAGCAGGGAAGGTGGACTGGGCCGGTGATGGTGGCCATGGTGGTGATGTGATGCATGATGATGGAGGTTGACATTACAGAGGGAATGTCCCGATGGAGCATGGTGGTGGTGTGTGGGGCCATGCTGAAGGCCCCCTGACGAAGTCATGCGGGGCAGGGTGGCCGTGCGTGGGGGGATGGGGGGCGGGTAGACGTCTCTTGGAGGCAACTCTGGGGCGTCTTGTGCCTGTTTCACCTGAAAGACACACACATATTATATCTGAATATTCCCAGTCAAGTGTACTCTGAAAATAGTTAGTATATGTAGTCATAAATATAAAGTGAAACCAATCGACATCATTCCTTTTGTTCGATTGTCAAGGAATCTGTTTAGGATAATTTTCTTTAGATGTCAACACAACACATTCTGCATAATAATTCAACATTACTTTCCAAAGATTCACACGTTAACACCCAAACTGAAAAGAGGCAAGTTGACCTACCTTTGGAGAAGTATCTCCAACGGATGGTTCTCTCTTTCGCACTCGAGGCGGCAGTGGTGGAGGTGATGCTGGCGGTGGTGGGGGGGGTGGATTTGATGGCGGCAGAGGGGGTCTGCTGGGGGGCAGCCCTGCACCTCCTGGGTACCCACTGTGATTCCCACTGCGATGTTCTGAGGAGCTGCCTCCTGATGCATCTACAAGACAAGACAACAGTTAGGCACCAAATATTGTCTAGCAAATGTTTATAAGTGAAAGAAATTATCTTGCAGACTATTTTCTATATGGATTGCATTTCTGATGAATCCTCTCATTGCATGCTATATCTTTCCAGGGATCTGGTTCACAATCAAAATCCTATCAACTGGTTCCTAGGTTGTGGGTAAAATATATATATATATTTTTTTTAACAATCCATTTTAAATTGATAATGATGACAAATCGTCAACAATAAGCCATTTAACTGCAACAAAGAATTACTCCTTGGTAGAGGTAGTAAAAAAAAATAAAAATAAAAATTAGGAATTTACTTTCACTGCTTTCACCTTATTTCCCTTTGCTTGCATTTGCCTGAAAGTCTGTTTTTTCTAGATATTTTTCCGAAAAATCCAAATAAGTAAATATTCAGTTTGTTTTAGTAATAACACTATGAATACAAGAACAGAAGAACAAAGTTCATCATCCAAAATTATGTCAATTTACAGCAGTTACTGAAGACCTTAAAATTAGGGAATATTCCTAGAAAAGCTAAAGAAATTTTGTTTCCATTTCCACTGAGTGACTTTATTTTTGTCAATAACTCGCACTGATTCACTAGTCCTAATCAAAAAATGAAGCTTCTATGATACTCTATTTATAATCAAATCATATTAATATTTTTTATTTCCTCTTCCTTACAATTTAATAATTAATGAAACACTTTGCTTTTCCTAAAGCACGAGAAAGATATTGGAATTCATTTCTGAGTTCCATGAAATAAATTTGCTTCTTTGCTTTGTGCCTTGTATCATTTTTACTGAAATATTATATTATATTTACTTTGTCACATACAATTCCCTGAGAAAATCATTAAAATGAATTCCAAAATATGTATGACTAGAAGCACTCAGAGAGACCATACCTCTGCCAAGGCAATAGGGTCACAGATACAATAAAAATATTGAAACTTGGAGAATTACATTAAAATCACCTCTTTCTCAAGTACACTGTCTTGTAATACTAATGAATCCTTAAAAAAAAAATTAAAGTTCCTAGATCTGCATCATGATCCACATCACCATCAAAATTTAATGGCATCAAATTTGGGCTAAGACACACCTTTGGTGAAAGTTTCATAAAAATTTGTTCTTAACTTTTTAAGTTATCCTTTGCAGGATCCGGATCATGATCCAGATCACCAGCAAAATTTAATGGCATCTAAATTAGGCTAAGACACACAGGT